AAAATCATACGCACACATACACTTACATATAAACAAAAGAGTATGTATGTGTTTGTTATAATAATTAACTTTTGCATAAGTTAAGAACTAATGCCCCAAACAGTGAGTGTTTGAATTGTTCAATAAATGGTTCTACAATAAAAAAAACAAACACTGGTATGATAGCTAGAAGATAGATAAAGGGAGAAAAAAAGGGGAGTTATTTAATTGAAAATATTTTTCTCGTAATTTGTAAGCTAAACTGAATTTTCATTGAAAATTTTTAATCCCAAATGTGTATAAACTACTATCACTACTGCTAGTATTACAAAATACTACAAACAGGAAGGTTTATTTAAATATACATACATATATGTATGTATGTGTATGTATAGCCTTTTATAAGCATGTAAATGTAATGTATGTTTTATATAGTTGGAAAAAAACAACAACAACATTGTTATTGTAATGTTTAAGTAAAATTTATATAGCAATCCCTTGATATTTAAAATTTTGCTTCTGTTTTGTTGCGTGTTATTGTGTGTGTATGTGTGTCTGCTTACAAACAAACCAAAGAAGGACAATAACTAGCTTATTTATAAATTTCCTTAACAATATTGAGGATCATTGATGGAAATTTGGAAATTTGTTTAATTTTTTTTCTCCTTTTAAACATTTTTGTCTAAATATCTCTGATTTTTGTATATATCTCAGTATTTAAAAAAAAAATGATTTTGTTATAAAATATGTACTTCAAAAATATGTATATTAAGGTTTTTTCTATTTAGTTTTTAATCTCGTTAGTCTTTACTAACAAAAGTCTGATATTCCCTACTTTTCTTTAAAATAAAAACATATTTCACACATTTTTTTTTTTTTTTTTGTTTTAAAATGTATCTTTTCCTTTGCTTTAAAAGTGATTTTAATGCCTTTTAAGTCTAAAAAAATACAATGTTTGTTATTATTTTATTCAAAAAAGAAAGTAAAAGAAAAATACAAGTATTTATAGTCTGGCATGGTCGACCATATGATACCCCACACCAGTGATTATGTTAAAAATGTAAATTATTATTTTAATAATATTATTTTAATAATAAAGTATTCAATTTCATTTTTCCTTAGTTCAGAAATATTTTAACAATTTGTTGAGAAAAAAAGTTATTTTCTAAATAAGGGATTATATAGGTGTAGGGGAATAATATGGTCCTATCTTATAGATTTTGGTAGAGGGATTTTCATCTACATTTGTTGTTTATGCAGAATATCATCACGATATTACTGTTTTTAAGTTAATTTTGACCATCAAGTGATTTTCTGAAGGGGACTTTGTATGGGGGATAGGGTCAATCATTACGAAAATCAGCAGTATTATTAAGACTTATATAAAACTAAGTTTTGCCAATTTTCGAATTGATGTAAGAACATATTTATGAGCTTAAAAGCCCTATTTGGGCGGTACGGCTGTAAGGGGGATATACGAAATAATGGACCGATTTTAACCATTTTCATTTCATCCTTGGGTCTAAAGAAGAACGTGTGCCAAATTTCATCAAATTATCTTGAAAATTGCGACCTGTAGAATGCTCACAAAGTTTACATGGACACACAGACGGACATAGCTAAATCGACTCAGAAAGTGCTTCTGAGCCGATTGATATACTTTAAGATGGGTGTAGGACCAATATTTTTGGGTGTTACAAACATCAGCACAAACGCATAATACCTTCCCCACTATAGTGGTATAGGGTATAATAACATCCCAGCAAAACATATGATCAGTATTGTTTGCCCTTCCATTAGGCCCTAAAGCATGTTATTAGATTTATGTTGGACAGAAAGACGGATGCAGAAATTGTTATTGAAATTTTTTAGTTTCCAAGAAGTATTTGTTATAAATCTATTTTTGTATCGATCTATCGATAAACATTTATGTCTAGTGGACAGTGATTGTCGACAGGCTCTATTGTGCTTTCAATGGACGGACAGACGAGATTATGATCGTTTTGAATTTGAACTGGATTTAGAATAAAGATAAAGTTCAATGTTTTACTGCTAACATTTCAGATTCACTGGTTACAATCATTGATCAGTAATTATGTTTTTCAATCAAGCAGACATGGCTAAAATGTCCTCCATTTTTTAAAGTTTTAAAAGAAATTGATTTCAAATTCTTCTTTTTTGACTTCAAAATTGTTTGCTTGGCAATTTTCACATACGTTTACAATAACAAAAGAATAATTCCTTAATTTGTACTTTATCTGCTGTTGTAATCGATGTAAAAGTGTACTGCATATAACATGCGTTTGTGTCAATTTTTTCTCTTCTTTTCGTATCTGTAAGTAGTAAAAATTTGGTTGTTGTTTTTATTTTTTTTACTTTACAGACTTTAATACTTACCAGGTATTTGCTACAATAATTTTATTCTCTACTTTATTACACAAAAGTAGAAACATACAAATAGATTTTTTTTCCCAAAAACATTTACAACATTGCAAACATTTGTAAATTTGTGTGTGTGTGTGTAAGTTTGTGTTTAAAAGTTTATGTGTAACGTATGGCTACAATTTTTGCCGCTTCGTTGATGTAACAAATGAATTTGTTAATATTTTATGAGCATTTGCAATAAAAACTTACATTTGTATTGAATATATAACACATTTCTCAACAAAACCTACCAACAAATACATTTAGCCTGCTATTGTGTTTAAATGTGTATGTGTCTGTATTGTGTAGCAGTTATATTTGTATTTTATATGCTTGTATTGTGTGTATGTATGGTTTTTGCCTATGTGTAATATTTTCAGCTTTATTTTTTTTCTCCATCCTTGTTGTTTTTACTACTCTATTAAAAATGCAATTGCTGTTTTTGCCACTCGTCGTCTGACAAGTCAGTGGAACTTGCCATATTATTATAGGGGGGCTGTTAATGCCAGGACATACTCACATACACCAACTTATTTGATTGTAAAACAAGACCAGCAATATTATATATGTTTTTGTTGGTTTCATGTTTCAGGCACGAAAGCAAAGAAAATTCAAAATTATTTCACTGCCCTTGTGGCACATTAGTAGTCTATATGGACTGCCATTAATACTTGTACTTCAATAGTCTTGCTGTTATTTTTTTCGTCCTTTTTTTTTTGTGGATTTCCTTGCTTATTGTTGCTTTCCTTGTTCGTACCTTTAATAACTATAAATTGTATGTTCTTTTTCTCATACATTTATTAGTGTCTACATTTGTCTATAAGTGTTCTTTTTTGTTTTGTTAAGAAGAAAAAGGTGTCGTATTTATTTTGTGTGTGTATTTATTTGTTGGTCCTGTCTTCTACTGACAAAAGTGCAAAATTTCATAAATTTTTAAATTTGTGAAAATTGTTGTTTTTTCCTTTTTTGTTTTATATTACATTGTCGTTTATATTTTGAATATTCAATTGATTTTGAAAGCTTACTAATGGTTTCTTTAAATTCTATGGCGTCAAAAAGTGTTGAAGAGGAATTATAGTTTTTTAAAGGTTAAATAAATAAAATAAAGGGACAATGTTTTATAAAGTTTTCTCGTCTTATGCTTTCAAACATTAGGTAAAGGGGAATTATGATTGATAAATTAAAGGGACCAGTTTTTTTCAAAAAGTAAGTCTAAGTAATTAATATTAACTGTAATATGGAAAGGTGAACAAGTTGTTCAAAATTGACAGACGGTCGGACGGACATAATAAGATGGCATTGGAATGTCATGTAGATACACAGACGTAAATAAGCGGACCAGATTTGGTTCCAAAAAATTGTATGTAATCTTTTTGAACATCAGGACGGACGGACATAACTCTTAGGATCTCTATGTTTTTGTAGCAAATGCCCCAAATATTACACCCAGAATGACAACTTTAATATACAAATAAATACTATTTAAAAATGAACTCTAATAATCAAAAATTATTATTTTTATCATATGCAGCATTTCAAGCTATTGGTCTGATTTTATAAAATCAAGACGTATAAATTAAAACTTATCTAATGATTTTGAAAATTTCGAATTATAATTAACTTAACGTTAATAACATTACTTTTAATTGCTAACTCATATTCTGATAAAATTGAAATAGTCCTTGCTTTAAAACCTTAATTTATGACAATTCAAAATATTTAAATATAATTTCATTTAAAACTAAAATTTCTGAAATATATTTTTATATTATTTTTATATTTTTCGGCCACAAAACATTAAATAATAATAATTTTTAAGTATTTAAAAATAACCTCAGGTGTTTTGTAAAGTATATTCAATATACTGTTACTTAATGCATAACGATACTAGAAACAGCTACTAAGATACTATAATAAATAAGTATTACTTTTTCTACTGCTATAAAATGTATTGTTATCTTTTGGTTAAAAGGATACAAGTTCAATCAACATCAGCAATAGCAACATCAACATCATCATCTTCAACATTGTCATAACTACTGGGTTCTACTCTATACTATTATGTATGTCTGTCTGTCTGTTTAAAGTTTAAATCTCTAAAATAAAGATGCAATAATACTCCTCACTTATGGGGACCAACTTCATTTAAATTTGTTTCCTATACTAGAGATAATGTGTGTGCTTGGTAACCAGTAGATAGCTAGCTTGTAGTATACATATTTTTTGCAATTTATAAAGTAAATATTTAAGCAGCTTCCAGCCACCATAAATGTAAACAAATATTTACAATAACTTGTCAAGGAATAATCTGCAATATTGATGAGTGTATATAGAAAATAATATAACAAAATAAAAGTAAATGAAAATTAAACTAAAAGTACATTTTCAGGTTATTTATCTTAACAGTTACCTTAAGTAAAAAAGTAACAGATTTATGATGAATATTGATTACGTTTTAAAAAGATAAAAAGCATAAATACCAAAAATGTCCAAAATAAAGTTAAGACACTGAGATTTTGTGGTTTAACTAAAATAATTTGTTTATCCTTTTTATATCTATTTAATAATATTGTATTTGATTTTAATTTTACTTTCAGCTATGAATCATCTTGACAAATTACGCTTGTGGGGCAAGGCGATACGTGTTATGGCCAGCAAACACCAGGCTGTACAACTGCCAAAAGAAGGACAACCCGATGCCGGCCTTACACGTGACTACTCTCAGAATCCATTGCATCGATTCAAGAAACCAGGCAGCAAAAACTATCAAAACATCTATCCGCCATCGGCGACATTGCATTTAAGTAACATTCCGTAAGTAAAGCTTATATTTTATTTAAGTTGGAAACAATATTACAAAGCTTACATTAAATGTCATAACTGTCAACTGATTTTTTTGTAAGGCTGTTTGGAATCCCAACCGATTTTAATTGCTTAACTCAGCTGATTAGTGTAGCGAAAGCTTCAAATATAAACCTTCTCTAAATTGAATAAATGTAAGAGCTTTTATATATATTTAAGAAAAGTACTGAAACAGTCATAAAAGTCTATCCGTATCCGTTTCAAATAACATGCGGAATATCTTACCTTTTTCGCCGTAAATAAACTGCAAATCTTAATAAAAATTTCGTTTATTTAAAAATTTCAATTTTCACTTCTTTACCTTTTCATGGCATTTCTTATAAACCGACGCACCACATTGACATTAGTATAGACACCAGGAAAAGCTCTACGGGCACAACCAATACCCCACGATACTATACCGCAAAATTGACCATTTACAAAAGCAGGACCACCCGAATCACCCAAACAGGCATCTTTACGTCCAGGGATAGCAGCACAAAACATTGACTTGGTTATCTTTGCCTGTCGTCCATATTGTGCCTGACATTTAGCTCTTCCAATTACTCTTACATTCACAGTACGCACTTGTTGTGGAACATTTCTAGCATTTTCTCTTAGTAAACCCCAACCAGATACTTTAACTGCTGCGCCAGGACGCCAATTTCTATTACACAAACCTGTAGGTCGTATTCCTCTGCCTCTAACTGGTTTTTGTAGCTTCAAAACTGCCACATCCATATTCATGGTAGCTTTGCTGAAACCTTTGGGCAGCATTATTTTGCTAACCCTAGACCTTACACCAGCTTGAGAAAGCTTAGTAGCTCCCGCTACTATAGATAAACGTCCAGCTCGCATACCCTTAACACAATGGGCGGCAGTTACGACAAAACGTGGAGCCACCAGAGTGCCACCGCAGAAAAATTTACCATTATCCAAAAGTTGCACTAAATAGGGTACTTGGTTAATTGTAGTGGTTTTTCCACCCACTATGCGTGATTGAATTTGTGGCAAGACTTGTGTTATTTGTAATAAAACTAACTGACAGATTATTAACAGTTTGAAACACGTTTTTAATTTAAACATTATTTTTTTTAATTAATTGCAAATTTTTTGTCTGCCGAGTTGAAAACCTCATTTACTTTTTAGTTGTTTTTAAGAACTGTTGAATTATTTAAAATTTCTATAACATTTTAATCAATGTTAGAGTTGAATTAAAAATTAGTTAAAACAATTGTTTAAATATTTACTTATTAATTTTATACAGATATAGTTGTTTTATTAATCTCTCTATGGTTGTTTTAGAATCATGTTCTAATTTTTAATCTATTTAGAAATGTGTCTTAAATTATCAGGTTTTTTTTTTGAGTTATAGGTTTTAATAATGATTTTTGATCTAAATGGATTATTTGTCAAAGGAGAGATACGGAGGGGAGTTTAACCTTCAATATTTTTTCGTATTAGTTTGTTTATCCGTTGATTTTATTTGCTTTTCTTTAAGATTTCCTATTAAATAGACAATAGTTCTTCAAAACAAGTTTAAAATATTGACTCACAATGGCGTATATTAGGGTTTCTTTTTTAAATTAATAAAAGTCGGTCGTGTTCGACCCTTCATACTAAGACGTGTTTGCAATACCCCTGAAACAATGACCAATATATCTAGGCTACAAGTGAAATCATAACTGTATCCACTAAAAAAACATAATTAAACCAAACTAGAACTGTACTAGAACTGAACTAGAACTGAACTAGAACTGAACTAGAACTGAACTAGAACTGAACTAGAACTGAACTAGAACTGAACTAGAACTGAACTAGAACTGAACTAGAACTGAACTAGAACTGAACTAGAACTGAACTAGAACTGAACTAGAACTGAACTAGAACTGAACTAGAACTAGAACTAGAACTGAACTAGAACTGAACTAGAACTGAACTAGAACTAGAACTGACTAGAACTGAACTAGAACTGAACTAGAACTGAACTAGAACTGAACTAGAATGAACTAGAACTGAACTAGAACTGGACTAGAACTGAACTAGAACTGAACTAAGAACTGAACTAGAACTGAACTAGAACTGAACTAGAACTGAACTAGAACTGAACTAGAACTGAACTAGAACTGAACTAGAACTGAACTAGAACTGGAACTAGAACTTGAACTAGAAACTGAACTAGAACTGAACTAGAACTGAACTAGAACTGAAACTAGAACTGAACTAGAACTGAACTAGAACTGAACTAGACTGAACTAGAACTGAACTAGACTGAACTAGAACTGAACTAGAACTGAACTAGAACTGAAACTAGAACTGAACTACTGAACTGAACTAGAACTGAAACTAGAACTGAACTAGAAACTGAACTAGAACTGACTGAACTGAACTAGAACTGAACTAGAACTGAACTAGAACTGAACTAGAACTGAACTAGAACTGAACTAGAACTGAACTAGAACTGAACTAGAACTGAACTAGAACTAGAACTAGAACTAGAACTAGAACTAGAACTGAACTAGAACTGAACTAGAACTGAACTAGAACTGAACTAGAACTGAACTGAACTAGAACTGAACTAGAACTGAACTAGAACTGAACTAGACTGAACTAGAACTGAACTAGAACTGAACTAGAACTGAACTAGAACTGAACTAGAACTGAACTAGAACTGAACTAGAACTGAACTAGAACTGAACTAGAACTGAACTAGAACTGAACTAGAACTGAACTAGAACTGAACTAGAACTGAACTAGAACTGAACTAGAACTGAACTAGAACTGAACTAGAACTGAACTAGAACTGAACTAGAACTGACTAGAACTGAACTAGAACTGAACTAGAACTGAACTAGAACTGAACTAGAACTGAACTAGAACTGAACTAGAACTGAACTAGAACTGAACTAGAACTGAACTAGAACTGAACTAGAACTGAACTAGAACTGAACTAGAACTGAACTAGAACTGAACTAGAACTGAACTAGAACTGAACTAGAACTGAACTAGAACTGAACTAGAACTGAACTAGAACTGAACTAGAACTGAACTAGAACTGAACTAGAACTGAACTAGAACTGAACTAGAACTAGAACTGAACTAGAACTGAGCTAGAACTGAACTAGAACTGAACTAGAACTGAACTGGAACTGAACTAGAACTGAACCAGAAATAAACTTCAACTAAACTTGAACTAGAACTTAACTTGAACTTTTGTTCGTCTAAACTATAGACTCTAAAGCTAAAGTTGGAGCTAACAAAATGTTTAGTATGATTTGTATAAAAGTGTATCTACTTTTTGAAAGACGTCGCATTATACTGTAATTTTGTGTTTTAATACTTAAAAAAGTTTAAAAATAGAGATTTTATTCAAAGTTATCCTCCTTGGTCTGCTGCTTGCTGTGCCAGACGAAATAGATATTGTAGCGTTGAACAACAAGCAACTTACCTGATGGTTACAACTATCATTAAATCACCTGCGGTTATGATTATTAAAATGTAAATGGAACAAAGGAATAAAAATTTTAATTAACAACAAAAACATGCAATTTATCTTTAAGACATTGTAATGAAAATCAAAGTTTCCTTTTATATTAATACAATTTTTTATTGTTTTTTATTACAGATCATCTTGCACTGAGGAAGATATAAAAGAAGCCTTTACCACTAATAATTTCGAAGTAAAAGCTTTCAAATTTTTCCCGTAAGTTGTTTTATCTCTAAAAACTCAATTTAAATTAAAAATTAATTTATATTTTTATTCTTTTACATGTACCAACTTATAGTAAGGATCGTAAAATGGCCTTGTTGCAACTGTCCTCTGTTGAAGAAGCCGTTTTGGCTTTAATTAAAATGCACAATCATCAATTGTCAGAATCAAATCATTTACGTGTTAGTTTTTCGAAATCAAATATCTGAACCAATAATTATTATCATCAATTTCACCACAACCACCACCACCAACAGCAACAACAACAATACCACTACAACAACCACCAACAACAACCACACTATTATTTATATACAACTAAAAATCTATTATTACCCGCATGAATCTTTCAAAAAGAGATTTAAGATTTATAAATAATAATTAAAAATAAAATTAATATAAAAAAATTAATAATTAAAGGCAGCATATTTTATAGTATATAATACTAAAAAACAACAACAACAGTAAACCAACAACAACTACATACATACTACAACAACAAAAAGAAATTAACAATAAGTTAAGTTAAAACTACAGAGAGAGGAAATCAAGAAGAGAAGCCAAGTCAAGAAAAAATCATAAAAAATAAGTAAAAGAACAATTTCTAAAATTGATCAAAAAACCCGGCGTTAAGAAAATTTTTAGTAATTTTAAGTTTAAAAAAATATATAAAAACAGAAAATTGTAAAAATTCAAACAACACAACACAATAGTTATTTAAACAACAAACAAAAAGAAAACTATAGCATACAATTTACATTAATAATAAATTTAATTAAAAATTTAACAAGAAAAAACAACTCTTCTTACGCCCCCCCAAGACTCCTCACCCTCAGCAACAACAACAAAAAATCGTTCCCCCATTTTTTGATTAAAACATAAGTAGGAATTTTAACAAAACAAGAAGTATTAGCAAGTAATGAAATTAAAATTTATTAAAAAATTTTTCAGTGTAACTTTGTTTTGTTTAATTTCTTTTTTTTTATTAAATTTTATTCTTACTTTTATATTTTATTTTCACCTATTTTTTCTTATAAACTTTTTTAATCTTTTTTTTATGCTCATTTATTTAACTTTTAATTATATTTTATATAAAAAAAAAACTTTTATTTAAAAGAAAACACACACAACACGTAAAAAAAATATATAAAAAAATGAATGTGAACTCTTTCTACTTTTTAAACAAAACTAAAAATATCTATGTAATATTAATCTCTATCTACTTTTTTTAAAACTAAAATTTGTTTTTTTTTTATAATTATCTCTTACTATTGGATGTGAACTTAAATTTAGGATATGAACAAATATTATTATATATTAAATATAAAACAAAAAATATAAAAAATTTATTAAAAATAAAACAAAAAAAAAAAAAAAAACTATCGCACATTTTAATCAACAAACTAAATGCAATACAGTTTTACAAAAGTGTATAAAAAGTGTAAAAGGAATTTAAAAAAAACGTTAAATAAATAATAAACAAATGAACTTAAGTCATCATAAACTTCGTTGACGTCGTCATCGTCATCAGTTCAGCATCATCAGTTTCAGGTTCATCAAGACATACCTTCCACTCCCACCACATCAGCTACACAATAGCTTAAAAGCAGTTAGAAAATCATCTGAGTCAACTTTTTCTTCAATACATACAATTTACAAAAGAAACAGCTCTATTTCCAAAGATTCTGGGAAATTTAATTTATAGTTTTCATTCACATTTTGAACAAGCTAAAGGAGTTTTAAAAAAATTCAACTTCAGCTATTAAAAAACAATTGAATTATGAAATTTTGAAAAAAATATGGTTGACATTATAGGTTTTTGGTAACAACAACTAAATATGTTGACAGTTATTACTTTAAACTTAATGTTGTAGGATTAAGTTGAAGGCATTATTCGAAATCAATACAAAGAAAAAATTATAACATATACTTTTAATTAGTTGAGTATACCAGTTTTGATTGCAGCAACTAAATACTAAAGAAGTTTTAGAAAAAGACAAAAAATAGGTATCAACTCTAAATAATTTACTTATGATGACGCTGGACAACAAATTTCTCAAATTAGTTGTATTCTATAATACTACAACTTCACTTCCGAATAACTTCCAAAAAAGAGCATAAAAATGACTTCTTGAGAATGACTACAGAAGTAGTGAATTTGGAATCAAATAAAAAGAATATATCTCCTATGACAAACCTGTATTAAAATCTTCACTTCTTTAGGTCTTTTTCAATACTTCCATGGAGTAAATTCTACTTTATTTTCGCTTCTTTGGAAGTTCTTTTTTGCTGGGCTAGAGCTTAAAATAGCGTAAAAGAAGAAGATTTGTTTGACGTATAACGATTCAAACCATATAACAGTTGTAACAACAATAATGTAAAACTCTAGAGATTAGAGCAGCTTATGAGCATTTTTTGTCAACTTAATACATATTTTAAGAAAATATAGATTTTTGAACTAGAATCTAATTACAAAAAAGTTTGAATCAAGAACATCATAATGAAACATTTTTTTGAATGGAAAATATATTTCATTCAAGTCTGATGTCAAATATTGGAGAAAAATCGTTTTGAAATTTGTTCTTCAAATGTTGTATTGAACATAGTTGTGTTAATGATATTGTTAAAGGGCCCTTCAGACGATCACACTTTACGTACGACAAGTCTAATAAATAACAAAGTAATATGGAAACAGCTGTTTCACTTTTTTATATATGTTTACATAAAAATACATCCCTGATCTAATGCGACTTGCTTGTTTTTTGAATCATTTCAAAAAATGAAGAGAGCCATACGACTGTCAAATTTTCCATCCGTATTTTCTCTCAATTTGTGATGATTTCGTTACATATTGCGTTTAGACGATTCCATCCGCTCTCGTCTACATAAAATTTTTACAGATCATGTGAAGAAGGGGGTGTGCTCGTGTGAAATGGGCTTAAAGGAGTAAAAAACATTGAAACTGGTTGAGTTCATTTCAAATAAGTAAACTATTTTGCGAATCTATTTAGAAATTCATTTGTCAATTCGGTTTAAGTGAATTCTTGGGGTTACAAACAAAATTAGCTATTGTGAATGAACAGTTCTCGAAACATTCACAACAAGATCTTTTTACTATGTTCCCACGATACAATTAATTAATTAATTTGCGCTCTCATTTGCCATCACGATTTGCAGTTCGTCGAATTTTAGTTATTGCTTCATTTTGGATTTTGATTATTCTCGATTATTAAAAATATTACATTATTTATTTTTTTAGCTAATATAAACATTAACAAAAGTTTATGATATATATCGATAAAAATGTAATATGACAATGATATGTTTAAAATGTGTAACTAATGAGGCAATTCGTAACTGTATGACGAATCACGTAGGATTCGGAGAGAGAGATTAAATTGAATGAATTGTGTTGTAATAACATGGTATTAGACTATTCACAATAAAATAATATTTGTGAACTTTTCTTTTCAATAATGTTTTAGATAACTCAAGACATTTTCGGTAAGTTGTGATAATTTGAGAAATATATATTAAATATTTGAGGAAAATTATTAATTAAATACAGAAGAGAAATCGAAGTATAACTTTAACCAAAATATACAACACTACTTGACGTTAAAAAAAAGTCTTTGAAAATTAAAAGTTTTTCTTTAATATATCGTTCTAAATATATCTTAAATTTAAGAATTTCTAAAGACATGTTTAGGAATAGGGCTGTTTCAATTACAAAGTATGTTTTTCTTAAGCAAACTGCAGTTAATTAAAGAAAAAATCAACTTCTTCAAACAGCAACAAATGGACAAATCATGGACAGCAACACCCGCCAACAAAAACAACAATACTCGTGCAAGTTTAAAAACATTTTTTTTTTAAAACCAATAACCATTAACCAGTTGTAGTAAGTGAGTATTAAAATGACATTATTTTCAAAATCATATTTAAATAAATTAAAAAATAAATCAAGACAAAAATACTATAAATAAAACAACCAAATCAATCAAACTGTGTTTCGTTTTAAACAAAAAAATAATGGAAAATAAAACAACCCCCCACAAGAACTTAAAAATATAAAAAACACATATATATATTTAAATTTTTTTTGTGTATTTGCTGATTTATACATAGTGTTTATTAATATATATTTTTAAAACAACAAACAAAATGGGAATCTTAAATATATTTATATATAGAATATATAATATAGAAATATATAAGTATAAGAGAAAAAAAAAACAAATTTAAATTTATTTTAATTTTTATTAAAAAGTCAAAAAATAAAGTAAAAAAACCTAAAATTTTAATAATAAACAAAACTTAAGTTTAGTCGAAGAAAATACGATTAAAAAACGAAAAATATATTTATTGATTTAATAGCAGAATATAAACAATTAATATGTTTAAATAATGAAATGAAAATAGCAGAACAACATATTTTATTTAAGAAAAAAACTTTGGAATTTTTTGCAGTTTTTTAAATGGGTTGCATTCTTAGAGAATCATTTTGAATTGAAATTGTTTTAAGGTTTAGGGTTAAAAATATATTGATATTTTGAATACGATTTAAAAAAAGATCGTAGGGCTGCACGAAACACTCTCAATCGATTGCTTTAACAAACTATATGATTTAAAATAAATTGTTTTAAGGACTAGTACTTAGACTATCTAATATACAACAGACTAGCCAATAGTCTAGTCCAAAGACTATTCCAAAAACTAGCCTTTAAAATAGTTCACAGACTAATCATATCAATATAGCCTATTCAATAGACTATTCTATAGACTAGTCTGTAGAATAGTCCATATACTAGTCTATAGAATAGTCCATATACTAGTCTAAAGACTAGTCTACAGAATAGTATATAGAATAGTCTATTGACTAGTCTAAGGAATAATCTATAGACTCGTCTATAGAATAGTCTATAGACTAGTCTACAGAATAGTATATAGAATAGTCTATAGAATCGTCTATAGAATAGCCAATAGACTAGTCTATGGAATAGTATATAGACTAATCTATAGAATAGTCTATAGACTAATCTATACAATAGTCTATAGAATAGTATATAGACTAGTCTATAGAATAGTATATAGACTAGTCTATAGAATAGTATATAGACTAGTCTATAGAATAGTATATAGACTAGTCTATAGAATAGTATATAGACTAGTCTATAGAATAGTATATAGACTAATCTATAGAATAGTCTATAGACTAATCTATAGAATAGTCTATAGACTAATCTATAGAATAGTCTATAGACTAATCTATAGAATAGTCTATAGACTAATCTATGGAATAGTATATAGACTAATCTATAGAATAGTCTACAGACTAATCTATAGAATAGTCTATAGACTAATCTATAGAATAGTCTATGGACTATAGAATAGTCTAAAGAATAGTCCATATACTAGTCTATAGAATAGTCCATAGACTAGTCTATAGAATAGTCTATAGGCTAGTCTATAGAATAGTCTATAGACTAGTCTATAGAATAGTCTATAGACCAGTCTGTAGAATAGTCTATAGACTAGTCTGTAGAATAGTCAAGAGACTAGTCTGTAGAATAGTCTACAGAATAGTCTGTAGACTAGTCTATGAAATAGTCTATATACTATTTGATAGACTAGTCTATATACTAGTCTATGGACTAATCTATACAACAGTATATAGAATAGTCTATAGACTAGTCTATAGACTAGTCTATAGAATAGTCTATAGAGTAGTCTATAGAATAATCCATAGACAAGTCTATAGAATAGTACATAGACTAGTCTATAGAATATTCTATAGAACAGTCCACATACTAGTCTATAGAACAGTTCACAGACTAGTCTATAGAATAGTCTACAGAATAGTCTATAGAGAAGTCTATACACTAGTCTATAAAGAAATCTATGGAATAGTCTATAGAATAGTCTACAGAATAGTCCATAAAATAGTCTATAGGATAGCCTGTTTGATAGTCTATACTACTATCTTTTCTACAGACTATTCTGTATACTATTCTATAGATTATTCTACAGATTATTCTATAGATTATTCTATAGACTATTCTATAGACGAGTCCATAGACTATTCTATTAAATATTCTATGGACTAGTCTATATAATATTTTTAAAATAGTCTATAGACAAGTCATGAAAAAGCCCATATCTTGGCTTTGGAATAGTTTATAGACTAGTTAATATATCAGTTCATAATCTTGTTCCTTGACTAGACCACAGGTTAGGTAATGG